TCCTCGCCTTTACCAATCATGATGGGTCTATAGCTTGTCGATTATAATATATCTCATACCAGACGAATTACAGCTAAATAGTATTCCTACTGATAACTGGAATACTTCTAATATTAATATAGATGTTACCTCTTTTTTAAACAATCAAGTTTCCTATTTCTACGATAATAGACAAAACAATACCAATAAGATAGATAAAGACATTATACATTTAGATGAAAACACATGTAATAACATAATCAAAGGAGACACAATAACTTTTGCTACATACAATATACAGGGCATCAACAATACAATAGATCCTATTAAATTTTCACAAATAATAGAACATTTTATGTATAATAATGTAGACTTTGTCAATCTCACAGAAACTCATCACAATTCATTGATACTTCATAAACACAAACAGGATCAACAATATACAACTTTTTGGAGCCAGCCTGATCCACTACAACCTTTTGCAGGTGTTACTCTGCTAGTTTCAAAAAAATGGGATAAATACATTGCTTCTTCATTTATATCAGACCCATGCTTACTCTATGTAGATTTATATTTAAAAGGACACATTAAACTTAGAATAATTAGCTGCTATGTTTATGCTAATGTAGCTGATGCTAAATGTAAACATGATCATAGACTCCTACAAAGACAAATTCTTAATCTACTAGATGAGTGTAATAAACAGCAATACCATACAATTGTAATAGGAGATTTCAATATCAATATAAATGATTACCACGAAGTTGAAATTCAATAAAAATCTTGGATGGCGATTTGACCTAGTAGAAGGATTCTCGCATAGAAATTATATGGACCTATAGTTATTATGTAATAATAATATCCTTCCAACTTTTTTCCCATTACATAGCACCATAAAAACCTATATACCTAAGAGACTAGATAGTATTTTCTGCTTATCAGGCCTTTTTGCTGACCTTCTTTATTGTAGTGTTTCAAAACCTCTCATTTATCAATCAGATCACAAAATTGTTACGTCATATTTCGCTAACCCTATTAAAAGACAAGAAGCTCAAGCAAAACACAATAGAACAAAAAAAAAAAATTCAACTTTGCCATAATGACTGCACAGAAATGGAAATTTTTCGCAGAAGCTACAGACACTCAATTTAAACAACACAACATAGATAAATTGCTTCTGCTACCTAAATCTCATCACAATATGAATCACATATGGGAATATCTTAAAAATGCCATTCTGTCTGCTGCTACCAAATCCATCCCCTATAAATGGATTTTCACAGATCAAAAAGCTCCTAAACTAAAAGAATTAGTAACTTTTTATGATCACATGAAATTAATAAATAAAATAGTAATAAAATTTAGAGCTGCTAGGGTGAATTCAAGAACTTGGCCTTTAGAAGATGGATGGAATGCTGATTTAAATGTTATCCACAAAGTTACAGTCCCCGGCGAAAAGAATGGCAAAAATATATTTCGACGATATGTATAAACTTTATTTTAATGTATATTTTTTTTTATTATTTATAAGAACAATACTAACAACAACTTTTATATGATTAATTAATATTTGGTATATCATCTTTCAGTATTGATACATGCTTTAACCCAGCTTGGCATGCTCTCAATGCATTAAAGTAATATGATGTCATCAAGATTGTCTCATTCCTGCCAGATTGTATTAAGGAATATATCACAGGTAATGTTTTTTTTTTGCTATTAAATACTTGATCTTTTTCTCCACCTTTCCCTTTAATACAGCCTATATATTTTTAATAGAGTTCAAGTCTGAGCTGTATGAAGGCCAAGAAAGAACTCGTCCTAGAAAATGTTTTTTCAAGTCTCTCTGAATATTATGTAAGGTGTATTTTAGGTCATTATCTTATTAGAAGATCCAGCCACGTCTGTATAACATATCTGTGTTGTTATACAGATGGTCATTCAAGATTTTTTGATACAAATGATGATCCAAATTTTCAGTAAACAAATGAATGCTGATTTTTCTTTTAGCACTAATCACTGCCCAAACATGAACCTTAAATAGGTGCTTTACCATAAGAGCAATTGGTTATGCATTATGAGATCATGCACATATGGTATTTCTAAACATTTGAAGTATTGTTTTATCAGAAAAAACAACTTTTTTCCAGTTGTATCGCGAATGATTACGTGTCTAAGACAAATGAAAATCCTTCACTTTTTGTGTTAAGAGAGGAACCTTTCTTGGAAGAACAGAAATATATTCAAGATTGTTGAGCTTATGACGTATCATACGTTCACTGACATCAAGGTTAGGATCTTTTTCTTTCAATTTTGCCTTAAGTTCGCCTGCTGTAGTAAAATGATTATGTTGCAGAATTTTTCCAATATGGCGGTGTTGATTTGAAACCAATTTTTTTGGACGGCCAGAAGAGTGACCAATAAAAATTTTGCCAGTTTTATTTAGTAAACTGACATATCGTTTACATGTGTGCAAAGGAATGCACAATTAATTAGAAATTTCTTTTGCATTACGCACTTTTTGGTCCCAAAGTGACTTAACAGAATTTCTTTGTATTTCTAAAGAGTTTGGCATAGTTTCAGAAAGGAAATCAAAATAAAAACAAATAACAAACCTTATTTTTTTAACTTATCTTTTTAATTCAGGTTCTAATATCTGAATTGGACATATAAATAAATGCCTAAATCTGAAAAGTGGTGAAACCACAGCATAAAATAGATGTGATCTTCTACTGCTATTCTTTTCGCCAGAGACTGTATGTATCTGGATATGATATAAAGGCTTCTTCAAAAATATTAGCATTTGGCTACTCTATCATTAGTATAAATTCAGGAAAGTGGTAACTGGATATACATTTAGAAGATAAGTTTGCTTCAATTTCACTCTTGGTATCAAATAGGAGGTCAGAAGTAGAATTAAACCTAGCTAGTAATATTGTGTAAGTAAAAGTATTACCACTTCTTGTGATTTTTATTTTGTATATGCATTATTACTATTATATTCCTAATTAATCACAAAATAGGAATAATGTATATATAAAATAAAAGTTACAAGAAGGTGATGGAAAAGTATCTAAAACTAAAGGCATAGTAAAATTAACAAAAATTTTGACCAACACTATTCCATGATTTCAGCCAGAACTTTAGATATAATAATTCTGCATTCAAGCTGATGAACTAATAGGAACCTCTTTGGTATTCTAGCAGTTTCTCATTAGTTCCATGACAGCTCCAAAATATTACCAAGTAGCTACTATAATACCAGCTTAGATCCTTCAAATCACATGTTCTAATACTAGTCAAAATAGTCCAAATCAGCTAAAAATTGGATGGCTAATTTAGGCTGATTTTAATACTATTTATGGCTGATTTACCATATTTTTCGATTGGCACAAACAGGTGTCGATAGATACCGATCGACCCCAATCAGACATGGCCATTCAGAACTTAAATTCAACCATAAATTAGCCTAAAACTGGCCTCAATTTGGCAATAATTCAGACGTTAATAGACGCTGATCAACTCCAATCAGACATAGTCATTCAGATTAAATTCAACCATAAATCAACCTAAAATTAACCTTAATTCAGCATTATTCCACCGGTCAAATGATGACATATCATACAGATATTGGGTACATGATATTTGCATGATATGTCATGTATTGTGACCCGATAGCTCAATGATCTGCAATGCTGATATCTCACTTATGTTTGGCAGAAATATTTAAAAATAAGCTACACATCAGGTTATTAAATATCATAAAAATATCATAAAAATATCATACTCATATCAGTATTCCGATATCTAGATGATTCTTATATGATATGTCATTGATTATTTCATGATATGTCATTGATTATCCCCTTATAATGTTATATACCGATATAATATTTAAATGATACTTTATTATATATGGTATCGATTTTATATACTGTATAATATATATTTATTAAAAAGTAATGAAATATTGCTTTACAATGTCAAATGCTTATAGCTAATATTAAATTTTAATATATCAATGTCTTTTATTGTTAAAATAAATTGCAATATACCTATACAAAACCCTAGCTGTTATTATTAACGTCTCACTCTCTACGTTTTCCTTTAGTATATGATATTCTATTTTCTTCTGCTTTACGAATTACTTCTACTGCTTTTCAGCTTACTTCAGTAACTTTTTTATTTACTTCTTCATACTCGCTAACTCTTTGATTTTCACTAGTTCTTCGACTTGGTTCTTTTTCTGCTCCTAGACTTGCTTATTCTTCTTCTGCTCTTTGTTTTGCTCCTTCTTCTACTCTTCAGCTTATCTCTCCACGATTTACTTCAAACAATACATCATTTCTTTAAACCTCATTTTCTCTTTGACTTCCTTTATGATACGCAGTCAATATAGTCTAATCAGGTGCATTATCTGGTGGTTTTGAGCTGTCTTTGTATAAATTGTCATTGTACCATCTCTTCCTTTGAACTTTGATATGCTGTATTTCAGAGCTAACAGCATCAGCACGACGAAGAATTTTTTTGATCTATAATAAAAGAAATATGAGTAAATTAAAGATTTGATTCAATAATACTTTTCTTATCCTTCTAGACCGCCAAGGTTTGTCATATACTCGAATTACATGTTTATCTTCTGGTGACTTATTTTTTGGCCTAATATGTTCATTAATTTCCATTTGCGCCTTTTCATTATCTGTCTCTGACGCTTCATCAGAATGATACTTGCCGTTAATTATTTCTTCTAAATCTTTCTTATATTTTTTTTCTGACAAGCTTTGAGATTTTGAGGAGATCAGAATATCATCATTGATATTGTACATGTGTATAATACCCCATTTTCTTCTTTCTTTTTTCTAATTATAAAATCAAATGATAAATAAAATAAAGACCTATCAGTAATCCAGTTTATCTTAGTAGAAATAAAATATCTAAAATCAAACCAACTTCAGAATGTTTTGAATTGATTCCTTTTCATTTTTATCTATTTTCGACTTCGTATTGTCTTGAGAATTTTTTCAATTGTCTCGCTTGTGACGATGAAGTTGTTGCAAGATGAATTTAAGTTCTGTCTGATTGTAAACCATTCTTTTGTTTAATGCTTTGTCAATAGCTAGCATAATGTTTTTTGATACATGGTCAGATATATCATTCCACGTATTTTTATAGTCGAGAGACAAAGAATCATCAAGACCAGAGAGTATTTGTATGACTTCGTCCTAAATTTATAAAATGGAAAGGTAATCAGTTCAGCATGTAACAAATATATATAAATTTGAAAAGATTGGAATACCCTGAAACTCTTATGTTGCTCTTTATCCATTTTTTCAAGTGATTTATGTGGCCTTTAATTATAACTTTCAAATAGTTCTAGTGATCGCGATTGTTGTGATTATCATTGCCATGATTGTTGTAAGGATTGCGCTTTTAAACTACGCACTTCTTCGATCAGAAAATCAAGCGTTACTTTAATCGATGTGATCTCTATTATATATTATATATGATAAATAGATAAACTTAACAAAATTACTTTATATTACAAAATTCAACCAACACATTATACCAATTTTTTCCGAATTTTCATGTCTGCTGGAGCTCTTATCACGTTCTGATCGATCGTATCAGTTGTAACTTCTGCTTCTATTACCTGAGTTGCTATGACTTAATCTATATCGTTTATTCCTGTGATCACTGCTTCATTCACAGCTGCTTTGTCTTATGTAACTTCATTCACAGCTACTTCATTCACGGCTGTTTTATCTCGTGTAATTTCGTTCACAGCTACTTCATTCACAGCTGCTTTGTCTTGTGTAACTTCTAATGCTTCTACTTCTCCTTATGTAACTTCTACTTCTGTTTTTGCCAATTGAATTTTATCATGTATTGTAATTCAAAAGGGCTTTCAATTACTCATGTTATTAAAAATTAAAATAAAAATAAAAATTAAAGTGAAATAATGTGTTTTAACGAAAGAATTAAAAATGAAATAGAAATAATTAAAACAATTAAAAAATAAATATATGAAACCGATAGGCTTTAAAGAAAGTTAGATCTTTGCGAAAGAAAGACAAGAAACAAATATAATAGAAATCAGGCCTTTTTATACTTTATATCATATATTACAGAAACTTTCAAATAAACTTTATTATGGCACAGGCGCATCATATAAAATATACTATATTAATTGTATTGATATGAATTGATCTAGTTTAATTATACTTTAATTGATGCATTTGATATTGATATTTGATACATTGATATTTGATACCATTGACATTTGATATTGATGACGTTAATTAATCGATTATATTATCAATTGATATAAATACAAGTATATTTTTACTTGAAATAAATTTTGCTAAAATATTAATTACAATGCCACGTAAAATGAAAAAAACTTTTGTAACGGATACACCCAAACCTTTGAAAAAAATGCGTATTTCAGAATAATCGAAACCTTCTGAATCAAGTTCAAGGCAATATGTAACATGTGATTGTAATATATGTAAAGGTAAAAAAGTCGATCCATGTACAAAAGAATCACATACGAAAGAAAGAGAATTACCAGTAAGGAATGAACCTTTCAAAATGGTAGCTGGAGAAGATGCAAGCTGAATAAATATTCTGGATGGTCCTATGGATTTAGACGAGATAAATATTAATGATAGTGAGGAAGAAGATGATGATTCCAGAAGGAAATAAGAGTTCAATTTTCTTGTTATGATGCTGAATAAACCTAAAAAGCAAAAACAATTAAGCAGTCATGATGGTAATAGAAATATTAGTTATCCACTTATTTTGATTGAGCAGATCTTAAATAGTGACGAAGATCAAAATATTGACGAATCTGATATTGGCGAAGACAATGATGATGAATTGGACGAATTGGGAGAAGACAATTCAGAACAACATGTTGATTTTGATGCTCTGGAGTATGATAATAAAAATGAAGGTGTCGAATCAGCAATACCAGATATCAATTCTAGTTTTACATGAATTATATACTGGATTTTCAAATTTCAAGAGATATATATTGGTCTTGATTGATAGAAATACATATTCAAAATTCCCGAAATCTTTGTATATGGTACGTAAAACATTCAGCATCGGCGATCAGTTAATTAAATATGCAACTTGTAAAAATGTTGCAAATTATACGCAATAAAAGATTTGCCTACTGATAAACCGTATTACTGTACATTTCAAGACTTTCTGAATCACCCGATGACCAATTTGCAATCTCCCTGTAATGCTATTATTACAAAACAAGTTCCCACGAATTAAAGAATAATGTATTGACCGTCACTCATTTTTCTAGTTGCTAATATTAAATGAAGATTGCAACAATTATATAATACTAAAGGATTCAAAGAATCATGCCGAAAATAGACAATTCATCCTAGTAACGATCAAGAATTAGCAGATATATTTAACGGAAGAATTTGGAAAACTTTCAAAGACCCAAATACAGATCTACTATTTTTCTGATGGGAAGTATCTGATAGTCATTTGGGAATTATGCTAAACCTTGATTGGTTCTAACCTTTTGACAATTCCCAATATAGTGTAGGAGTAATATACGCAGTTATATGCAATCTTCCACGAAGCGAAAGGTTTAAAAATTCTAATGTAATTACTTTGGCAGTAATTCTCAGATCCAATGAGCCAAAATTATACAAATTGAATCATTATTTGGCTCCAGTAATTGATCAATTAATTGGATTATGGAATAGGATCGAGTTATCAACAACTTACGAAAGTTCCAACAGTAAACATATTTGAGTCGCAGTAATATGCTGCGCATGCGATATACCTGCCACAAGAAAACTTTGTGACCATATATCTGCGTGCACAGCTTGCCATAGATGCCAAAAAGTAGCAGATTTTACTATCAAAAACCAGCCGAACTTTAGCGACTTTAATGATATGGAACAATAGTTTGTGTTGAGAAACGTCAAAGAAATAAGAAATAATGCAAGATTATGGAAAGAATGTAACACTGAAGATGCACGAAGAAGGCACGTATCTGAGACTCTGGTATGGTGGTCAGAAATATACTGGCTACCATACTTCGACTCCGTTCAATTCCTTATTGTAGATCCTATACATTGCTATTTTTAGGCATTGCTAAATGGATAATTACCTGATTATAGATCGAGAAAGGACGCTTAACGCTAAAACATTTAACAATTATGCAAAAACGAGCCAATAGAATAAAATTGCCATCAGACATTAGCAGAATTCCAAGTAAAATATCAACAGGTGAAGGTTTTTCTGGCTTTATGGCTGATCAATGAAAAACCTTCATCCTCGTGTATGCTACTTCTATTACTTAGGATATACTTAAAGATGATGATAGAAAAATATTAAGTTATTTTGTACGAGCATACAATATTCTTGTATGTCATATTATTTCAAAATCTGGGTTATAAGAGGCGCATCAATGTCTTTTATCTATGGTAAAGCTAATTGAAAGGAGTTACAGACCAGAAAAGATAATAATAAATATGCATTTATGTTTGCATATATGTGAATGCGCATTTGACTATGGTCCATTATATGCATTTTGGTGTTATAGTTTTGAATGAATGAATGGCCTATTGGGTAATATAATATGATCTGACATTATTATTCTTATAATATTTTCCGTTATCTAACTGGGATTTTTTTACAGGCTCTTTACATAGTAGTAATTGACATATAGAACCAGAATTACTTAAAATTGTTTAACGTTATGCTTTTCTCGATGAGCTATCGACATATGCAAATGATAATCAACACCTTTCGAAATGCTTGTCATATATCACTTCTAGAGAAATGGTTGGCAGTCTTGCTGTTCATGATGACGATTTTGACTTGAAGAAATATTTCGAATTTTTATCAATGTCAAAGAATGTGAAAGAAAAGGCTAGAGCAGGCTCCGAAGCCTTTCCAGAGGCATTACTTAAACCAATGAAAGAAGCAAATTTATCGTCAAAATTATTAGATTTATTAGTAAAATATTATCGTAACACATATGAAGATTTTTTATTCGAAACCTTATCAAATATTCATAATGCATCTTTAGAATCAATTGTAGTTTTTTCAAAAATCAACCAATTTGGTAGATTGAGAATCAGAGCTGAAGTCATTGGATCAACATTTTCAGCAAGGCATATCAGATCGGCAAATATATTATCACAATTCGTTTTAGATAACAATACAACTGATACCTTTTCTAGTCAAGTTCAATTCTTTTTTGAACATAAGATACAATTGCCAGAAGATGAAACAACACATACTTTAGCATTCATAAAATGGTATAAACAAGCAGAAGATAATAGAAGCTGATTTCATTATCAAATCGATAAGGATAATTTAAATATTTGTAATATCGAATTGTGGAGAAAAGAATTTTATGAATTAGGACGTGATTGTATTATACCTATACATAATATTCTAGGACGATTTGTTGCTGGAACTATAAAAATTAGTAAAAAAAATCCAAAAGAATATTTGACTGTAATTCCTATCAATAGAAAAATTCACATATAAAATTTTAAAGAGTAATGAATAAATCATTCAACTAATTACTTTTTCGCATCTTTAAATATTTTAAATGTATATATTAGCATACTGATAGGTCAATATTTGAATATCAGGTTTTATATTTTATTGATGTTTCTTGATATGCCATTATAAATATCAAATAAATATAATATAATTATCATATAATTATCAATGTCAAATAGGTTTACTGATGAGTTTAATAAATTTTCAAATATTTTAACGATAAGTCTTTAAAAATTGGATCAAAAACAATAAAAGTATCACTGCCATATCGGGTATCAATATGTGTATGATTCTTAATATGATCGGCCAGTAACATATCGGATTTGATATTTATCTGATATCTAACTAATATGTTATTATCTGATATGCCATCATTCGACCTATGTTCAGCATTAATTCGAAACTTAAATAACATAAATCAGCTTAAAATTGACCTCAATATAGCATCATTTAGCATTAATTCAGAACTTAAATAACCATAAATCAGCCTAAAATTGATCTCAATTCAGCATCATTTGGCATCAATTCAGAATTTAAATAACCATAAATCAGCCTAAAATTGGTCTCAATTTGGTATCAATTCAATCAAATAAGT